CCTAGGAGGGAGTATCAGTCATACAACTCTTTGAAAAGGTCGATTCATACATCAAAAAGAGCTTCAAAGGGCATATAATTGTATGAGCAGTGGATGTGTGTGTTTTTTTTTTTTTTTTTTTTTTTTTTTTTTTTTTTTTAGTTTTATAGTTTATTTTTCTTTTTATTTTTTGAGGATAAACAACCAAAATAATATAACTATATTTATATTTATGGTCTATTAAGTTGTAGATAATTTATCATATATTTTGCACGGTGTATTAATTCTATGTCACTATAATATATTTGATAAAATTAATTTATATATTATTAATATTATATATTTTATTGTTACTATTCACGTATTTATAATAAAGCTAAAATATGATTGCATTTGACAAAATGACGATAAATGAAAACTATCATTTATATTTATTGTAGTTATGTTTGGTAAAAAATAATTATAATTATGTTTTTTAATTATAAACATTTGATACAAATTAATTTGTAACGTCCTAAAAATATTACGTAAAAATTTTATTTTTCAGCCACTAAAACCATTGAATCATTTGTTCAAAAGACAATTAGAGTGTAATGTATTCTCAAACATAAGAGTAAAATCATAAATCAATAATGTGGAAATAAAACTCCAGGGGATGCAGTGCAATCAAGCCAAACCCTTCCCTTTGCATTTAAAACATGAAATCGTAACCACAAAGCTTAGTGGGTTTCCCTAAAATACCACATGTATGTGTTGTAACGTCCCAAAAATTCCAATAAAATCTTTAATTTTAAACCATCAAATCATACAACCATCCATTCCAAAACCAAACATAGTAAATCAAAAGTAAGCACAGGGGATACTGTGCAGTCAAGCCGAGCCCTTCCCTTTGGATTTTGGAACTAGAAGTACCTGTAAACACAAAACTTAGTGAGTTCCCCAAAATACAACATACCGTACTTACATTATCATAGGCTACCCCCATGGTCTTGCATACAAGTGTTATGGGCTACCCCATGGTCTTTCCTCACATTGCCATGACTACCCCATGGTCTTATATACAAGTATCATTAACTACCTCCATGGTCTTTCATAAAAATATCATGGGCTACCCCCGGGTCTTCCATGCAAGTATCATAAAAATAAATAGCATCCTACACAATATAGTGAGAAGACTCACCTAATTCACGAAATCAGCTAAACCACAACTCAATCCTATGCAACTGGTGCTACAACACACCTATCAAAACATATAAGGTCCAACCTTAGCCTATACTTTGAATCCAACAATTTGACCAAAAGTCAACGGTCAAAGTCAAAGTCAACAACCAATAATACCAAAAATTGAACCTCACATCATGACCAACCTTAGGTCACGTAATGAGAACGAGCTTAGTCTGATTCCAATTCATCTCACACTAATTCAACAAACTCAATCACGGAAAACTCACTCAGCAAGCATCACGACATGAACCCTCCTTGGTCATGTCGTGAACTCATTAGGACAAGATAAATGTGAAATCCTCCTTAGTCACGTCGTGACATCCTCAATGTCACATTGTGACCACAGTTTGAGACAATAACTTAATGGTTTGAGTCCTTAATCTATTAAATAGTCAACTCTCACTTTCGAGAAAGCTATAAGGGACTCCAAATGTTCATAAATATGACAACTTTAAGGACATTCATGCTCCATGCATGTCCTCTATGCAATCTAGGTCAAAAGGAAAGAAAGTGACCACAAATTCATGCTAGGTTCACAAACCAAATGTTCATAAGAAAGTGATTCAGGAAGACCATAAAGTTGCCAACTTTATTACATCCCTTCACTTAAATCAAAACCAAGGACCAACAAGGAATTAAACAACTTAGATCTAAAAGAATAAGCTACAAAGATAGAAGCTTGAATCCTTAATGGTCCAAAATGTGATATCAAAGATGAGAAATGTTGTTTGCTTGGTCCTAGCACCAATCCTCCTTCTACTTCCTTAAAAAAGCACCAAAAACCACAAAAAAAAGAGCTAAGAATTGATTAATTGGTTTCTAGACGTTAGGTTTTGAACCGTATAGATTAACAATATGATATTTTCGATAGTTGTCTTTAAAATAAGATTTTTTTAAAACATATGGAAGTTTTCGGAAGAAAATATAGAAGGGTATTTATTTTCTCTTAAATAATTATAGATACTATGCACATTCTTAATATGGGTAATATTTAATATTGGTATTTTTAATATTAGTAAAACTAAAAGAAAAATTAAGATTCTATTATTATACAAACTAAAAATTGAGATATTATATGTCAAAGACATATAATAAAAATATTTAATAGTTGAAGGTCCAAATTAGAAGTTTAGTATATGTTAAAAGTTGATAAAAGAATTTTTTTTTTTATAAGTGATGATATACATAGACACTTCATAGGCCAGTGATGGTCAATTTGATAAGACAAGATCAATTCCCATGAATTTATACGAATCATAATGGTGATGTTTAATATTCGTGGTTTTGACTTTCTACTATTTTTGTTGCCAATAAAATTCTTCCATTCTTTCTCTATCTTGGTTTGAGAAGACAATATCAATTTCCAAGGGTTTATACGAACGTAATGATGATGTCTAATCCATTCGTGGTTTTGAGTTTTTACCATTTTGAGTGCCAGTAAAATTCCTCCATTCTTTTTCAATTGGGTGCTGCTAATAAGATACCCCTTAAATACCCTATAATCATTTTTATAAAAAGTCAACCTATAATCAACTTCTTGTAATCATCTTTTTCGGAAAACAATGCAATTTCAACCAATAAAAATATTTCAAACATTAATTAGAGTTGTCTAAATGGTAAAATAGGATCCTTCTCAATTTTGGTTTGATGAGACAATATCAGTTCCCAAAAGTTTATACGAATGTAATGATGATGTTTAATCCATTCGTGATTTTGACTTTTTACCATTTTATGTGCCAATAAGATTCCCCCTTCTTTATCAACTTTGTGACCTACAACTCTTTCATCCCGGATTCAACCTCTCCCAAGATCACCCCAAAAACCTTTGGCTTACGCCTTGTTTTAAAGTTTTCTAATTAAAGGAAGGGAATGGAAGGAGAGGAAAAGGGATGGTGTTGGTGATTTTAGTGTCGCCAGATCATTTTTTGTAATTGGAACTTACATGTGAGCTAAGGGGCTTCATAATTTGTAGTATAATATATGTTTGGGTATGTGCGGAGTGCACACATGTATAAAATCAAATTAGAACCCGGTTCGATGACAAGTTGGAGGTCCGGAGGCAACGCCCCTGGGTCCAGGGTTTCCAAAGGCGCAGCGCCCCTTTGATGGGTTCTAGTGATAGCGCAACACTCCTGATAGGGTCCAAGGGGTAGAGCCCCTGACTGGGTCCCGCTAATAGTGGAAAACTCAAATTCTTAAGGGGGTTATAGTAAAAATGACTAAGATCGTCAGTTTTGGAACCATTGATTTCCTCATTAATTCTGGATTCCCTTGATTTGTTTCCAAAGCAACCCATAACGGCCAACCTTAAAACGAAACCCTACATATCATTTTCTATATAAACGACTCTCTTTTGTAGAGAAGTATCACATTTTAGCTCTCGTTTTTTTCATACAAATTCAGAATCTGCTAGCAATTTGGCTTACGTTTTCTATGCCTAGATTCGTAAGTGTCCCATTGGGATTATCCTAGATTGAATTTCTTATAACCCGGGCATAAAATAGAAATATCAATTCGGAACGTGTTTACACGATTCGAGGGATATCCAGATCTCCACTATAACCCTACCCAATTTCTAACAGATGGAAGGTGGGAAATGGAATAGGAATATAAATAATCAAAGAATGTTCTTAAGATGGAGGGAAATAGAATGGAATGGAGGGATTTGAGCCTTTTTTTACTTCACCTCCTAACCCTTCCAAAAATGGGTTGGTAAAAAAGACACTTACTTTGCTTTCCATCTCCTTCCATTCCATCCTCTTCTGTCTCTTAAGAAAAACTCAAGAACACATTTCCCATGTGGTCTACTTTTATTCCCTTCCATTGTTAATGTCGGGTTTCTATCCTCCAAATCCCTTAAAGCTCGTTCTAATGGCGGTTGCGGATATGCTATCAGAGCTCGTATGGTTTTGGTGCCATTAATAACCAAGCCTCCAACATTGCTTGGTTTTGAAACCTTTGTTTTCAAAAATGACAAGATTAACCTTGTTGGTTATGATGAGTATAGTATGAGAGGAGGAAGAGCTTTGCTATATGGCACACAAGAGATGCAATTTTGGTAATTTTGGTTAGCCCTAAGTATGATATTCTCCAGGATCCCATCATTCCACATTGTGGAAGTTCAAATTGGCCAAACCTTCCGGTTGACCCTCTTCAAACACCATTAGGAATTCATCAAATCCTGCAACAATAAGGTTTTGATTATCCTTCTATTCCATTAATCCCTGAATCTCAATTGTCGAGTTTGCTACAATATCAACATTGGTCACTAATGAAAGTATTAAACCTCATATACCAATACCACCTACACAACTTTCAATATAGGATGAATGCTTGTTGCTTAAACTGAATAACAGTCGTTAAGACAACATCTGTTTTCCAAGATCCTTAAGCAACATTTAGACAAACACCATTATGAAAATATGTTCCAAATGGAGTGCCCAATATTCAGGATCTCCACCTTGAAGACAAGGTCACTCTTCGAGGGTGGGATATTGCTACACACCCACTTGATTCACATTCTTATAAAGGATAAGATGAAGAAATCAGCAAAACAATGAGCATCTTATTAGTGGAGGGGTATTTTAGGTATTTTGTTTACATAGTTTGTTACAACAGAATGCTTATAAGGAAGTAGATGGAGAGACTAGCTTTTCCAATAGCTAGCTTTTGTTCTTACAATCTTTTAATTATTAGTTTGAGCAATGAATTCATATTTTGATGATCAGTTTCCTCTGTGTGTGTGTGTGTTCCTGTTATTAACTTGTTTTTGTAAGTCATGTCATAAAAAGCAGGAGTTCATATAATTCAAGATCTAAATTTGGTTTTATTTTACACATCTAAAAAACATTCATAGCAGAATCATTCGCAAGAGTTCATATTCTTGAAGATATGAATCGAGTAAAAACATTACGATACAATTCTACAACTACCATACAAGAGAGACATAATTACAATCACTAAATCTTTGCATAACTATTGATGAATGAGCTACACATAACCCTTAAAAACTTATATATAATAAGATCAACAAGTCCCACGATTCTATGAACTTGTTCAATAATAATCCTACCTAACAACACTCTTCTTGATCTCTAAGAACACCAATTCATCACCTTCATGATTCATTTCTGATTTGTAGATGAATCTTCCAACCAACGATCTTGATATGTAAATCACGATCTAAACCTGTTTCAATTTGAGCATTAGGTAATTAACTCTCATTTTTTTACTTTGAAAATGAAGTACACTTTTTTTATCTTTTCATAGATTTATGTTTACCTATTCAGAGAAGACACTCATGAATTCAATATTCGGCTCTTGTTTCACTTTCTTCCCAAAGTTATCCCATTGATTCAAATTATTTGCTAAAGATTCATCTTCATAAACAGCAAACCTACTTGGAATCAAATTCCCCTTTACCCACAAATCCAAGATTCTTCAAAGGTCCTTGATCAAGCACTTGAACACATTCACCAAATGAAATTTGTTTCTCACCCGAATTTACCAAAACGCCACTACTCCCCCCTTGAAAACTAACCGATGATGATTGATTATTCGGGACAACAAGACGCGAGGGTTGAACCGTGATCGCTTGTTTCTGAACCTGCTGACTTGGCATTACCCCTATTAAATTACCATTTTGCCCTCCCAATCCACCATAATTACCAATCATGTTGTTGGAATGCCATGAATGAACATCTTCTACAACGGGTTGTGAGATTTGCTTTGATGGGAGGGGTTGAGTGTAATTAGATGATTGTAATATCGGTTGGTGGTCAACTAGCGGCAAGTTGACATTTCCGGTTGGCCGCCCGAAAAGTTCAGCGTGAAGTGCCGCCAGTGTTTCCGGCGGGATTTGGCCGGAAGCCGCCAGTGCTTGGATCTCGAACCTTCCGTATAAACCTAGTTTTTTATTTTGTTCGATGGGCCCACAAAATGAATTTGGACCCCCTCCTTGTTGACCTCCCACACCACTTAATCTCTTTAAGTATAATCTAAACTTCTGCATAACAAAAAAAAATATAAACTTTTAATCACTTCACTATATGTTTCAATTGTAATTAGTTCACGTATAATCTTTTATCACAAAGGTCAAAGCTTTATTGGAAAAAAAAAAAAGTCAAACTACACCTGCAAATGACTTGCAACGTTTTCTCTAGTCAAACCTGGCACATTCATCAATTCAAGAATTCTCTTTGGAACAGCCTCTGAGAAAATAAAAAAGTAACATAACGATTTTTAACAAAATAAATTAAAGTATTATAATTAAAAATAATAATAATAATAATAATAACATACTATCAATTCCAAGTTGATTCACAGCACTAACGAATTGCTGATGCAACTCCACAGACCAAACAACACGTGGCTTTTTTGAAGCAGATGGATCATCACTTTCAAGTTCACAATCATCTTCTTCTTTAATACTTCTTCTTTTTTTATGACACGTCAGCAACCCATTTTCTCCTCCTTCATTAACAGAAGAACCATACTCACTATCATGATTATCATCGCCTCCTCCTCCTCTTTTGTGTTCCATGCTCCCTGAATTTTCATGTTCTTTATTTTCATTCCATTTTTTTCTTATAACATGTTGCCATATGTTCTTTAGTTGTTCTTCACGTATAGGCTTGATTAAGTAATCACATGCCCCATGTCTTATTCCCCTCAACACAAGATTCGTTCTTCCATCTGCTGACATCACTGCACACAGTAATAATTTGTTTTTAGTTTATATAAAAGATAAAAGATTATTATAGATGGAAAATAAAACGTACTTATGACAGGAAGATCCATTTCTAACCCAACGAGTTCAAGAAGCTTAAATCCATCCATATCAGGCATATGAACATCACTTAAAACCACATCAAATCCACCTTTTCTTTCCCTTAATATATTTAAAGCAGCAGTTGCTTGTGAGCAAGTTGTAACTGCAAAAGTTAACTAAATTAGAAAAAGAAACAATCTTTATCCATACAGACATCATTACTCATTCAGGGCTTATATGGGAAAAAGGAAAGAAAAAGAAACAGCCCTTTAAGAGGTAAAGTCATATAGTGAAAGAAATTATGCTAGAATAGAACCATATCTGGTTATATAAGTAAATTAAATGAAAGAGATCTTGAATCTAAAATGTGAAATCAAGAAAGCCTATAAAATCCAAAATTCAAGTTACTAAAGATCCCCTGTAAGCATTTCTAGAGTTCATCCTTTATTGTTTTCCACATATAAAGGTAACTCAAAGATCAATAATATATTTCATGTTCAAGTCATGTTAAGCAGTGATTTGATTGCATAAAAGTGCAACATTTAACTTTTTCATGGTGAAAACTCAACTTGCACAGAAAGTGCTATTTTTTGTGATTATTGAAGGTAATCTAGTGTTATTTATCACTAATCGTGTTAAAATTCTGAAAAGTGGACACTAACAGTTAATCTCTAACAAACAGAGAAATATGACGTTCATACTGAAAGCGAAAAAGGAAAACAAAGTGTTTACCATGATACGAGCATCTGCGAAGCATTTGTTCCAAAATCTTTAAACAAGTAACATCGTCATCAACAACAAGAACTCTCAAACCCACAGGGAACTGATCTGACACACCCGTTGCAGGTTTTGAACTCAACGACCCGGACCCGGAAACGAAACTGCTCGCCGTCGTCATACCTCAAGTAAACCTCTCTTTCTGCAAAATCCAGAAGTGGGATAACATCAAAGGCGAAATTAAAGCGAAACCCTCGAACAATTTTGTTAGGGAGCAGATCTAGGGGGAGTAATTAAGGGGAATTCAGTTGTTTTAGTTGGTAGAAATGAAATTGAAAGCAATGATTGAGAAATTGGTGTAAAATTTATTATGGGAAATTGAATTATAGGTGTGAGCGTGTGATCGATGAGTGAGGAATTGAATGTGTAGCAGTGGGAGTACAAAGAAGACTGGAAGAAGGGTGATGAATTTAAAGAAATGAAAGGATAATCATAAAGATAGATAATAGTTGGAAAAAATCCATCAAAGTTATGTCCTTATTGGCAAAACCCATATAAAAATGTGTTGAAAATGACTTGAGGAGTGGTACATACATACAAACTTTGAAAAATCCCATCTTTGGATCTTGTAGTTTGGAACACTTTCTTGTAAGGCCCCTCAAACTAAAAAGTCTTTCATTGTTATATGTCTTTTTTTCTTTAACTAAGAACAAATGCAATATGCGATTATGACGAAAATAAAATTGTTACACTGATACAGAGAAACGGATTAATAAGTCATGTTGAGATCCATCACGATCTTTATAGAGAGTTGATGAAACATATTTGAATGGTTGGCCACACTAATCTACATATTTGAATGTTTGACTATTATAATTTTAACCAAGAACTAGAAAGAATAATTTTTGGATGAAAACTTCATTTAAATGTAGTAATTATGAATTTTAAGTTTTTAATTTATGTATTTCTTATTTTCAATTGATGGAATAAAAGTTAACCAAATGGATGATGAATATTGAAAAAGATAAATTATATTTTAAACTTTTATACAAAAAAACAACATATGGTCCAACTACAAAATTACTTTATATTGCAAAGTGGCTTGTTTAATGGTTATTATCGCAAAAAGGCTTTTTATTTTCTTTTAAAAAAACGTTTATATATTACGAAATATATGATTTTTAATTGGATTTTTTTGAGCAAACATTAGAAAAAAAGCATTTTGTTGTTTATATATTATTTTTAAGTTTTATGTATGTAATTAAAGAAAATATAAGCTTTATATATCATATACCTTTGGTTTAATTTAATATATTTGATTTTTCTTCTTTTTCATTGTGTTGTATTAATTGTGACTTAGAGTTATTTTATTGATAATGACGATGGAGGCAATTATTAACTTGAGTGATTCGGTGGGTCAAGATAGCAACGGGTCATTAGATAGAGGAATTATAACAAAATATTGTTTTTAATGAGAAAGGAAATAAAAACCAAAGTCATGCACGAAGTTGAAAAATGACTCTTTCTTGTACCTAATTTGACCAATCAAAATTTGAAGGGGGTGAATCTATTGGAACTTAACCCAAAATGGATTGGGATTTTATTGATTGAATACAAATCATAATTGTTCCGTTTCAAGAAAAAATCAAAATGACTTTAGATTAAACTAAAGGGTTTTAATTGAGTTTAAATTAAACTAAAGGGTTTTAATTTAGATATAGTGGCCCATAGAATTACAGTGATAAGACTTTTGGGGTTTTATGAAGCCGGAAAAGGTAAAATAAACTCTCTTGGCAATGTATGTGGCTACGTTGAACCTATCTAAAGTGTAAAGATCCATCAATCGGTAGATAATTGTGGACAATATTTTAGGTGTGTAAGGTTTAAAACTTGAATCTCATTTAATTTTACAACTCAATTGTAAAAAAAACAAAAGCATTTTTTTTTATCAAAAGAGTAGATAGCGATACAATTAAAAATATGACCCTTTCGTTTGAAATAACATTGTTTATACTACCAAAAAACCCACATCGTAGTCAAGACAATGACTTCAAGAGTCTTCATTTTCATTATCGTGATTGAGTCCACACATTCCGTAAGTTCCAAAACACTTTCAAATGGTGGGAAAGGGTGATCCAACCACTTGTTAACCTGCACTCGTATTTGATTAGCCACCTCATGGTTGACAAACATCTGGCTAGAATCTTCAACATATAAAAAGCACAAGGGGCATAACACTGAGGGAACATTTATATTCCCATATTCCTTTTAAGAAGTGGAGAGTATCAATGGAGAAGGTTATTTGATCCGCTTACAACGAGGGGGAAATTGAAGAAGCCAAAGCTTGTGTTCATAGTGACTCACAAAAGGGTCTTGATTGAAGCTTCCAAGGGTATTTCCAGTCGACTGTAGGAAAGAAGAAGACATGGACGTGATGACATGTTTAATTTTAGGAATAGGAATGATACAAGTATGTAACGTCCCAAAAAATACCAAGTAAAAATTTCATTTTTAATTTAACCAAATCATTCATTCATTACTAACATAAAGATAATCAAACTATAAACTATCCTCAAAACATCAAGTGAATCACAAAAGATAGTGGGCCCCGCCCAATTAGCATAATGGGCCCCGCCCAACTCACGTATCAAGCCCAACCCATCATACATAATGGGCCTCACCCAATTCACATAACAACCCCCACCGAACATGTCAAATGGGCCCCACCCTACATACAAAATAGGCCCCGCCCAACATACATGCAAAAGTCACAAAGACAATTAGCATCTTATATAGTATAGTGAGAAAACTCATATTACAAGCGCAATCGACAACTAACAGACTCACACAATCGAAAAGTGGATGTTACACACCTCCTAACGAATCATAAAAGGTAAGCACTTAGTCTACCTTCTAAAACTAGCAATATGACCCAAAGTCAATCATGTCAAAAAGTTACCGCTCAAATATCAAAATCAACTTAAGAATGCCAGCACGTCATGGCTATTTCGCCCAATCACGACTAATTCCACTTCCAAGTCATGGAAGACATGCCACCACGTCATGGTGGAGCCTCACCATGGCATGACAATATTTTTTGGATTGTAGGATTTAATGATCCGCCATGATGTGGCCATAAGTGCCACGGCGTGGCAGTTAATTTTGAAGAAACCCTAGATTCTCGGGTTGGACCCTTATTTAAAGGAAGTGATGGCTAGGGTTTCCTTCGCCCTCATCCTCCATCCTCCAGAAAGCATCTTTGTGAAACTCTATGTGGTGTTTTGTTGCATTTTGAAGGAAGGAGAAGAAGGTGTTAGGAAAAGGATCAAGCAACTACTCCTCTCCATCTTTGGAATTACTCTATGGACCATTTGTCAGTCCTCAAATTTCTATATTGATGATTCTTTGGTTGCAGATCTAGTTTCTTAGCATATTTTGGTCCATAAGAAATGTTTGATGGGTTTGAAATGATAAAGGTTGCAACTTTATGACTCTCCTGAGTCCCATGAATAATATATCTTGTAGATTTAGACTTTGGTTGGGGTTCTTGACCTTGCATGAGTTTTGGGTCACTTTTATCTCATTTTGACCTAAAACGGATTCTAGACATGCATTAGACATGCATGTCTATAAAGCATCTACCTTTATGCTAAATCTAGTATTTGTTTTGGTAAAAAATTACACAAGTATAAATCAACCAAATTGAATGAGAGGCTGTGGTGTTAGAATTATGCAGTAGAGAAAGGTAAAGAAAATGTCACAATTTTTTACAAGGAAAGCCCTTGATCCTTGTTAGGATCTCCGTACAAAACCTTGGGAGGTGATAATGATCACATGCCTTGATGATTTTATTAATATAAAATGATGATTACAAAGAGTATTTCAGTAAGAACAAGTGAAAAAGTTCATAGAGTAAGCTCAGAGTCGGTAGAGTGTGTCGTGTGCGAGATACACATGTCAATTTATAGTCTAAACTAGCTAACAAGATGCCCGATATTTCCGGGATACTCTATGACCAACTTTATGAACGTTGTTTGACTTGGTATTTCAGGTCTGTATCATGGTTGAGATGACTCTTTGTTGAGAATAAGTATTCTCTTGACTATTTCTACACAAGTGTTAATTAAGAACGAAATATGACCGTTATAAATGTTAGTAAATAATAATAACGGTAATAGTTGGGATCATGAGATAGTTGAGGATCCTGAATATCTGATGAGGTTTGAGGATCTCGAATGCTTTAAGGATCCTGGCCCTAACAATTGCCCCCAAGTTATTCCTGAAAATATAGGAGTTAATTTCGAGAATATTAAAGGGATAACTTTAAAATCAATTAAAAATAGGAGATAAAGAAGAATTTAAAAATTATCCCTTACTGGATAAGTTTTACTCATCTCGAGGTAACTGAGAAGCAGTCAAATCATCTTTCTTATCTCTTCTTTGCTATAAATGTGGGCTTCCGGTAATTTCTGTGACAACTAGCAAGCTTGGGTCAAGTAGAGTCTAAATTGAAACAGTGTACAAATAAATTCACTTTGTAACTTAAATGCAATGATGTTTATTGAAAGCCAAGAGGACACCATATGTACGATGAGAGATGATATACACTTGGAAAATTCATGATAAAATAAGACTTGAATGATCAATGTAAATCAAACAAGAATCAAATATTTATAACATAACAACATGTGTTTATGCCATTCTCGAATTCTAAGGCCATAATCTTTGTGATCGTTATTGCATAAGGCCGAAAACCAATCCATGAAAACACTACAAGATCGAAATCTCCATTTAAGGCCCATTAGAGGCCCAAAACCCTACAAGACTAGGACCGAAATCATTTCTTTAAAGCCATTAGGACCGAAATCCTCAAGTATGAGGTGTAATAAGGGATTTCGGCTATAACTAGACCGCAATCCCCTTCTTTATGACATAAAATTCCAAAGTTTACTTCCCTAGGGTGATTAGGTGTTGACCAGGTGATGGGATAAATCAAATTTACCCCACTTTATATAATATAATCCAATACCCTTCAAATAACCATGTAGTACGTGAATTGCTCCCTAAACAAACAAGAACATCCTCCACTCTTATTCTTCCATATAAACCATGGCAAAAGACCCTCCTTCCATTCACCAGCATTTTTCATCTTTCTTTCTTCCATTCCCTTTGACACTTCATCTTCATATTTCAAAATTCTATCAAGAATAAGCTTGGTTCTTCCCACAAATCTTCATCATCTAAGTGGTCCTTAGAATTTTGGTAAGCAACTTCGACAACCCATAGTGTTTCTACACATGATTACGATAATTTCATCCCATTTACACACAATATCATGTGTTAATTTCCTTAGGGTAATAAAATCTTCAAGGAGTTCATCAAGCACATACTAGTGTTTTAGGCTCGAAATCTTCTTCACAACACTTCAAGCTACACACAAGAACTACTCAAGGTGAGCTTCATACCCCCATTTTCGAGTTTTACATGCTTTTAGGGGGGGGGGGGTTCAAATATGTTTGTCTTTTGGATGCTTGCATGT